ACCGCTGGGAATCGAACCCGAGACCCCAGGATTACAAGGCCAGCGTTCTAACCGCTAGACCACCGTGGCGATTAAGAAAATGGGAGTACATAAGCTAATTTACAGGCTCCAAGAAAATCGAGATCCAGATATGAGAAAAGTATTACACCACATTCTCAGTGAATGTTTATACGAAACGTAAAATTTTGTATAGCTGAACTTTTCGTCTGAAACAAGGAAATGCTGTATTACCATTACTTTTCAGCTTTGCCTTAAAACACACCACTAGAACGCCAAAGAAAATAATTAGGGATTGGAATTGAATGTTACACATCAGCTTTTGATCTACGCTGATGACTTGTTGGGGAAAGATAAAAATATTATAAAAATACAAACTTTCTATTGTACGCCACTTCTTTCGCTGTGGTTTACTTAAGGATGATGTCAGCAGCGTAAACTACGTAGCGTCGAATGGTAGTTGGATTAGTTAAAGAAATACGGTTACCCAGCAAAAGAAAACAACGTTATTTTCTCTCCCTCATACTTCTTATTACCGATTATTTTCACCCGTGAAATATATAAAATCACAGTCATAAATCAGTCTCACAAATTAAATTAGTGACTTTTGTGTTGCTCCCAACATAACCACATACAAGCCAAGCACTGAAAAATGTGCAAAAATGAGCAGCACCTGATCTCATTAAGTTTATCAGGCGATTCGAGGAAGGGGCAGGTGGCGAAACTTCTTATTGGTAAGAACACCTGACATAAATTGGGCACAGGTTTCAAAAGAATTCGCCAAAAGGCTGCCAACACAGAAAAACTGTAAGGAAATTTCAACTCCGCATACATCCCTTGTTAATAGCTGTCCTTCCAGATTTAACAGCAGGCGGAAATTATGGTGTTATACCTTACGGGGTGTCGGAAGTTCGGAAGCTCTTAGTAGGCTATAACACACTTAACCAGTGATTAATGGGGCTCTTATCTTCCACATGAATTTGTCCCATATTTCACCCTTTCGGAGTGAATTCTGTGTTCAAAAGATTATTTTACCTATCTCAGTAAATGAGAAGCATAATTACCACTTTAAAATTCACACAATATTATGGGAAAATTATAATCTATCAGTAATACAACAGCCAATTTCAATCACGCTTGACTGGACGCGTGCGCAGTTCGATGCGGAAGAAACTGAGTTCTGACGGTGTCGACTCTGGTAGCAACAAATGCAAAAGCGGCTATGATAGTACCTATGGTGGGGTCTGGCGGGAGTTCGGACTCTGAAGTCTGGCGGTCAGTTTTGTGTTTTCACATTTAATTTAGTTTAAAAATAATAGTTGTAAGGGTTCTGTTTTAAATTCGTTATGCAACGATAATGTTGTAAATCGTATTAATATTTAACATAAAATTTGTATTCCCGTCAACTTTGACGGGCCACACGCTATTGCTAGTACACTTTATATTATTTCCACATTCCCTACAAACTAGCTTAGAAAAGACTGAAATGTAAACTTTGTGTTTATTTAGAATTAACACTGCCGTACAATAATCGAAAGGAAATAACAAAATTACATTATTGTGAATACATATAACCGTGTCTGAACACGAGTTTTATCGGATGCATTTAAAAACTTCAGCGTACTTATTCTGATTCAAGCCGCTGACAATTGGCTTTTTGCGATTTACAGTTACCAGCCCTTACCCAAAAGAATCCATTATGGGAAATGTATCGCTTGAGTGTGAATATAATTATTGTTGACTGTACTAGCTGCCATATTGTAAGTACCGTAAGTCCTGACACCTATCTGATCTAGCAGTTAACATGAAATAGGCGGTATTCACTAACAGCGCGAGACCTGTATACTATTACCGTCATCTTCGTGAAGGTTATACGCCTATGTATGATATTGGAATCTAGTCCACATTTTTAAGGCTCAGAATTATCATAACAAATAATATGTTTACAAAATAAAGACCACATATCAGGAATGAAATCAACAGTAAATAGTTTTACGTTCTACAGTACTTGGTACACTGATAACTTATGTTTATAGACAATGAATTAGGTCTACAATATATTTGTTTAATTCAATAAAGGTAAATAAAGGTGACAATGGCTAATAAACGTTCAACTATCTTGTAACAGTCGACAGTTTGCTTTGTAGGTTTTGTTTTCCAAATACGCTACAGGTAGCTGTCCTACGAAACAGATTAATCGCAGCCCGCCATGCAAGACCACAGCAAAATTTCCAAGAACCAAATCTAATACAATGACTGTCATGCATGCATAAAATATTTATTTATTGACTCACGTGTCTCTTATTTTACTACTTCTGGTAGTTGTCACAAAGCAGCTTTCTAAGTTTACGTACGATCCCCTTTCTGGTGCAAACACAACTAACACACATTTACACATAGGTTCGATGGTGGCGTCATACAGTGGCGGCTGTGGGAACTTCCAGGATGCACTCGTTTCGGAGAGATGCTCGCAGCCAAGAGCTTTGAGAAAGATAACTCTGTTTATATTTTGGCTATTAAATTAGTAAAAAAAGAACACGGCCTTGATCTATGTGTGACTGGTATAACGACGCGAGTAAAGTTCATGTGCCAGAGAAATTATTTCATTAGCGGCCCATATTAAAATGTAGTAAACAAATTTACTTGCAAATTCTCTAATTAAAGTGAATTTCACCCCTAGCGTCAACACTAGTATTCTGAAGGTCCTCATATCAAATAAACACAGCTCCAGCACTAAAGTACAATGCGTTAGTCCACTGTTCTTATCATAAAGCAGAAATGGGCTTATTTGGTCATTATCGCGCATCCGCCCGTGAAACACAGTCTATAAAGGAAATATCTACCCAGAACTTCTTGCTCAATATTTGTGACTAACAGTAATACCCAAACATAATGACCTTGTGTCTAATAGCAGCAAAAGCAATTGTTTGACCATATATGTAAAATTATTGGAGGTGTGTATTTTCTGTTTACTTAACGACGTCTCTTCAACTGTAAAGGTTAGGCTCCATAGCGCCGAACAATAAAACTGCGGGAATAACGGACCTATTATCGCGTCATCTCTCTCCAGGAATTTAGGAAATCCTCAAGAACAATTCAGCCATATCCTGTCCCTTCCGAAGTTTGGTGACAAAAAATTCTATTACATGTTTTCTTGCCAACGCCATCACAGGACAACTTAAAATAAATTTTCGTCAAAAAGAACTTAAGACATCACATTCCGTTAGTCTTTTAACTCATTGAACTGGCACAAACAAGACGCACGTCCTACATAAATTCAGAGGTTGGGCCTCAGGAGACGGTCGATAAAATGCATAGAACGTGCTTCGCTGCGTGTGTTAAAGATCCAGTGCCACAATTCAAGAAAACGAGCACTGAACCTAAGAAACCATATAATGATAATCTGACAGCACAATCCGTTCCAGAAACAGACTGGACATGACTACGTCACCGTGTCAACTGCAAATCTTTACATACAACAGAATGAGAAATGGTAGCGTGATTTTGTAAATTGTTACCTGCAGAGGATAAGAAGGGAAGCAGTCTG